GACGTGACGTTTCAGGCAGCACTATACATAACGTTGCCTTCAAARGATGATTCAAACGTTTTGAACAAGGAAGTTGACACACCGTAAAGTGTACCAAGAGAATCACGCGCGCTCAAATTGACGTCGTTTTTAAACACTGAGCACAATTGAATTCATTTGAAAATGCAGTACTATAAGCCCAGTTCGAAAAAAATAGGCTAAAGCATCTAGTGGGATGTCACGTGTGCTATTAGTGATTTGATTAATGACGGAATTGTTTTTCATTAGACAAACCAGGCCAGTGTCCGTTCTTGCCAATCCCACCTACTTGTGCTTCCAGTTCAGTGGATTTATGCCAGGAGGATTTAGACTGTCTGGAAAAACAAAAATGTTGCTCAAACTCTTGCTACAAAACATGCACCCATCTTACATCTTCAAGTTCCACAAGTATGTATTGGTTAATCTGTTATTATTGGTAACGCCCTCCTTAGGAAATGATGTTCTAGCTATAAACAGGGCTATTTTCAGCCATGAGAGTTACTCTTACAAAATTAACTCTCTCCACTTTTTAAGATACTGGGGTGACAATATACGAACCAGAAGATTACATCAACCCTGGTAGCAATGTCAAGAGAACATGTAGAGTTTTTAATCAGCCACTTGAAGGCTGGTATAACCCAAATGGATTCAAGATAGAGTCCCGAAGTGACCGTATACATGTCAGATCTAATGGTCCATACCACGTACTTGTGATAAAAAATGTGACAGCAGAGGATGGCGGGAAATATACTTGTCGGGGAGCTATTGATAGCAAATTGGCAAATATTAAGATCAACTGTGAGTATAAGTTTGTATCTTATATATTCAAGTAAATTTCATGACTTTCAGTGTTAAGCTTGACACTGCCTCTCTTTAAGTATTTGACCGAAGAAAGTGCCACACTCTTCGTAAAGATAAATTGAGATTAATGCACTGAGTAGAGATGACGAAAGTTCCCGCCAAATGCCAGGAATACCATTGAGCCATTGAACCTCTCTGTTTATCATCTTGGACGTGGAATCAATATATTGTTTCTCGGTAATCTAATGCTTTTCCATAACGAATAATAAATTAACTGAAAGAGTACAATCGTAAGTAGAATATATTCAATTCTTTTAAGTGCTTATCAATTCTGACATTTCAGTTACCATTCTTGAAATRCCGCATATCCTTATGAGAGTACGAGCCAGGAAGCACCCGATTCTCATCAAGACCTTCATTCGCGGTCACCCTTTACCAAAATACATCTGGTATCGAAACGGGAAAGCTATTGACATGAACAGCAAGAAATACACTATAAGYCCAAGTGGATCACTTGGTATTGGTAAAAACCAAGCAGCTATACCWGGGAGATATAACTTGAAGATTGAACAGGAAGGCAATGTCTATGACCCAGATATCACTGTGGAAGTACAGAGTGACGAAGGTATTTAGTTTTTGGAACTTTCAGATCCATGCATATTGTAAATGAGTGCATGTATATATATTTTAAACTAACAGATTGCATCAGRCCTCTTCCCCTTCTCTCTGTCCAACAAGGGTGCCCTGATCGATACTCTTATGTGTACAGCTGTAAAACCCTTATGGCCACGGTTGACAAGTGTATTTTACTATTATTTTATTTTTAAGCTGTGTCAAAAGATGTTGTCAAAAGAGGGACCACAGTTAAGTGCTTAAAGAGAGAAATGCGCATTCTCATTAAAATGAAGCTTCTGGAAGACATGGAAGCAAACTCTCTACGACTGCGTGACCCCAGCTGTCAAGCAACATCAAATGGAACTCATTTCTTATTAGTTGCTCCTTTGATGAAATGTGGCACGACCGTTAGGCACACATCTAAGGCTGTGGTTTATAGTAACGCTGTCCTAGAAAGAGAATCTGAAGAAATGATAACTAGACTGAGTGATATCAGTGTGCCATTCAGTTGTTTCTATTCTAAGGAAGGTGTTTCATCGACGCTTGGACTTCTTCCTGTCGTGGTAAGTCCTTAGCTAAAATTTCTTTCAAATGTGCTTCAGTTCTAGCTGACCTACACAATGTCTTTGCCTTTGTTGATCAAGGCTATAAAACGCCAACGGATTACAACGTCAACTACCACAATGTACATCATGAATTTGTCCCCCAGAAATGTTTCCTAGTGTCCCCAACAGCCAACAGGTTAGAATCTTGCCTGTCTGGCTTGTAACAGTTTTTATGTTATCCTATTATTGAAAAACTGTGCTAATTTTTCAGGTATCAAAATTGCTTCCTGGATCTAATTCTTCATCAAAATTTGACTTGTCTATGAAGCTATACAGAGACGAGACCTTCACTCATGGTTTYCAAGAGAGTGACTTTCCACTCAGTATTGGCCTCAATAAACCTTTGTTTATTGAAGTTCGAGTCGATTCACCAGATRTGCGCCTTGCTGTTTTGGCTGAGAGATGTTACGCAACACCTTCCCAGAACCCATATGATAAAACTATGTATGATGTGATAAGAAAAGGGTGAGTAAACAAGAACAATGCAAGGCAACAAAACACATTATTAAAGGCTGCTAAAAGGGATCGTACTGATCAAATCCTTCCCAATAGAAAAGGAGGGGAAAAGAAGACATTAAACTAGTCTACCAAGAAATACATTAAACATTTGTGTATTAATGGGCTTCTTTGTTGTTGTTCTTTAAGTTGTAGTGTGGATCCGACGATAAGGTTCTACCCCTCAGAACCTTCCAAGAACAGATTCAGCTTCAACTCTTTYAAATTTGTTGACACTTCACAAAGATATATTTTTGTTCACTGCAAACTCGTTGTCTGTAACGCGACTAACCCATCCTCACGCTGTGCCCATGGCTGCATCTCGGCGCCTGCATCGCTTGGTAAAAGACAAAAACGAGACTTGCAGGAAGACTACGAATTCACACAAGGCCCGATCATCTTAACCAAAGAAATGAAGTCTGAGAGTCAGCAAAACGAAATTGGTAAGACCATAAATAATAAAACTTCAGAGGTTATCCCATTTCAGTCACATTATAAGATTCCTTATTAGATTATTTTCTAGTTCTAATCGATGTCATTAAACAAAGAAACATTATTCAAGGGAATTGAATAGCACATGGTTTAAAATAAGAAAACGTCGTCATATTTGTGAAGTGACCAAGCTGAAAGGGTCTATTTTGTAGTATTTTTGAGGCTCTTACGGTTTTGACCTGATATTGGAACGGGTATTGGATATAAGGATTTCGGATTAAACGCAAATATTTGATAAGCTTTTGCATATACACGCTTCACACAGTTCTCAACATCATTCTGGTAAAGGCTATTGCAAGTTATAGGCGATATAGTTATACCCCAGCATTTCTCTGATAATCATGCACGCCTATATATATAATACAGATAATTGAGTGTACCTTATTTTCTTTTTCAGAAGACACTGTATACTCTTCGGTATATATATTGCTGTCTATCGCAATGGGTGCAATTTGCATCGTGAGTCTCGTTACGATAGTACTCTTGAGGAAAAGGCTGAGGATCGAGAAATTATCCCTGGCCATGGCGACTTCAAAAGAGACACAACTTTAATTGATAGAAGAACGGGTTATGACTGAAGATAGACTGAAGATACAAGATACGTAGTAAGGTTTAGGGTTTGAAATGATTTCGTAGAAAAATTCCTTGAACCCATATGGTGACTTCAAAAGAGACGCAACTTTAATTGATAGAAGAATTGGTTATGTCTGAAGACTCAAGATACTTAGTAAGGTGTAATATTTGAAATAATTTCGTAAAAGATTTCCTTGCTCTAAAATTTCTAGAAATTAGAGTGCTTTCTTATTAATCTTCACTGAAATCAAAGTGACTAACAAAGCAAGCAATTCTCGATCTTTATGCTGCATTCGAGGAAAACGAACGTCAATAAATCAAGATTGCGAATTAGAAGCACTGAAAACCACCGTCTCACCAACTCACTGCAYGATTATGGATGATGTACTTTAATAATACCTTCTGCTTCTTACAGGGTTTTTGCCTAATCACTACTAAAGATTCAGAGATAGGTATGTAGAGAAAATTTCGTAGCTTGTATGTACCGCGTGGAAATCCTGCTTTTGAAGTGATACTTAACTAGCTAAAGGACATACTTGGTCAAAAAAATTTGAAAATAAAAACTAAAAATCAAACAGTTAACCACACTTGCACATCCCTTTTGCAATGGAGGTGGAATCTCCCGGCTCGCTTTATGTTTGTTAGTTCGTATATCCTTACGCTGATAAAGCTGTCAGTGTAGTTTTAACTTGCGAGGTAAATGTCTTTACGCATTTTCTTCATATTAACCACCCTTTGTATGCGTAACGCCAAATGAGTCAAACCTTGAAGAAGAAGCGAATCCAATGTATAAGCTGTCTGGAGCAAATGTGCAAATTACAAATGGGCAATAGTCTACTGTCAATAGAAGGTACACGGGATTGTACTCTAACGGTTAGTTAGTATTTGATTGACGGAAGTCGGTCGCGACTGTTATCTCGATCAGCGCTTAGCACGACAACAGTTGTAAAAAAAAGGTAAAATCACAAACATTCTTTTAAACATATCGTCAGTTTATTTCTATTTCTTAACAGCAATTTTTTTGCAATCTAGCGCGCGTGGGTTCAATTCAACTATTTTGAGCTAGGGCGAGCTAATTTAAAGTCGGTAAGTATTAATAGAAGCTAGAGTCACTTAAACAGTGATGGGTAATTTCGATATTCAAGAACGTTAATTGCCTACAGACTCCTTGCAGCAGCTCCCAACGCAGCTCAATTTGGAGGACAACTAATACGAAGGGAGAGTACAGTTTTCTGTAATTACGGTCCCCTCTTGAAATAAAGTGTTACTACTACTATAAACCACTTCCTTCCACTAATGTTAACTAGTCAACTGGTTTCAGATTGTTATAAATTGTACCTCAATTTACTCTCTATTGCAGTCTCACCTGTCAGTACAATAATAGCTATTTCTCATTCGAGACAATCTGCGCTAGGATTTTCATAGACTTGACTAAATCAAGGCCAAGGCATATAACGTTCTTAAGTTTGTAGCACGCAAAACAAAATAATTATAGATAATTTGGCGCATATAATATACTTGTATGTYCAATAATTCTGATAATATCCAAATAATATATATTTTACAATATATCACTAATATAGTGTTTAGTGTTTGGGTGCCCCTGATAAGAGAGCAACACTAAATTATAGTATAGTCTTACAGTAGAACCCTTCTGTCAGATATAAAGTGATATCAACATCAACTGGAGACTCCAAGTTTTAGATCACTTTTCCTGGCAATCATTTGCAGCTACATTCCAAGGCCTTTTAGTTTTCAAACCTCTGGTCAAGCAGGTGTACGTACCGGTATTTGACTGTGCAAAAAAAAATTTCCCAGTAATTTCTGATTTTAGCCTGAACTTATCTTAGGCTGAAAAAATTCAATTGCCTCTGATCCAGTGGATGCCCTTCTCATTTGGCTACATGTTGATTTGTTCGCTGGTAGTTCAACTGAACTGAAGCCATCAAGCTTTACCGTAATTGTTTGTCCTTTCTGATCTACCGTGCGTATAGTACACACCTTGGAAGAATCTGGATTATTTCGATGTTCAGCGTTCGTATGCTGCCGTGATTCACGAATAGACCACGAGTCTACAATATACGATGAGCTATCCACGATTGTTTCGTGGGACATGAAGAAATTTTCTGAGGAATTTTTTCTTGGAGATGCGATATCTGGTGAGAGAGGACAATCCTCGTCATTTAATACAATCGATGGAATTGTATCATTATCATCGGGATTCAAATTACTATTTAATCGTACAGTCAYCTCATTGGGTAAGTGACTCATATTCGCAGTTTTGGCCTCAGTGATCGCAAGATCAAGACCTTTCGTACTCCTTTCGTAATTTGTGCTTGAATGCAGATCCTTAGAGTTGATCTTTAAGACAATTTCTTCATGAGGCACTGGAAATGGGGACTCCTTTTTTGATTTGCCACTCAATAAATTTTGCTGCAACGAACCGCTACGAGTTCTTGAATCATTATTATTTATTTCTTTTTTGATCTTATCCTCTTTCGCCAAGCTAAAAGTGCCCTGACTTCCATCTACGGTGAGATGTTTTTCGCCACCCACTGTGCTAGATCTCGGTCGCCTAACATCAAGAAGTTTCTCGCCATCAACGCAAAGTCCATTTTTCTTCTCGTCTCCTTTTCTTATAGGGAACGTAGTTGGTACAGAATTTTTTCTTTCTTCAGAATCATGAAGAGCTCCTGCCTTTCTGGCAGCTTCGATGGCAGAATCCATGGAAGGCCTACGGTTAGTTAGGCCAGGTAACAAGGAAGAGATACGCCGTACAGCCACAAGGGCGTTGATGGATTTCTAAGGAAAAACACACAAAAAATGATTTTGGTTCTATATTTCGTTTAATTGTGAAGCTCATTACGAAAATGATGTGTTCCAAAGTATCTTGACATAGCAGAGATAATAGGGTGAAGCTTAAATTCACCAGAGGAGACTGTTAGAGCATCATGCGAGGAATAATGCCGGAGCAGAAGCTCCTGTTCGCAGGACTGCGAAAAAGGAACAATAACAAACAAAAATCCACTCACTTTCCATCTTCTTTTAGCCAGGAACGATTTATGTTTTACGGTATCGATTTTGTTCGCTACTTTTTTTTGATTCTGCAACGATCAAAAAGAAAACTGTTATTCAAATAATCTCAATAGCAACGAGGCAGGAAACCTAACATTTACGTACCACAATCCATGGATGTACTAGACACTCCTCTATAGTTAGGCGTTCACTGTTAATAAAAAAGTGAATTGCGTTCGAAAGTTATTTGGTTGTATATGTCAACAAGGGGGACGTTATGACRAATGCTACCGCTGTCAACTAAAAAACTTTTATCGTACCTGGGTTCTTTTTGCAGCAAATCTTCAATGAAATCCTTGGCTTCTTCCGACAACTCATCAAAACAATCATCATCAAAGTCCCAATCCGCCTTTGCCACTTTGATAAGAGTGTCTTTATCGTTGTCTCCAGAAAATGGCATGAGACCACTTAATCTATCAAAAGAAAAAAATACTCCGATTAATTTTACAGAATGAAGTAGTAAACGTAGTCACTATACTTGCGCTAGGTGGCACTCACTGATTCACGGGGAGGTACTCTCTATTTCAATTTAGGTGAGCGCTTGCATGTGGCAGACCTCGAAGGGAAGTAAGAGGCAACAGGGGGGAAAGYCTAATAGAGTATGTCCATCAAAGAACGGGGCGCGGACATGATAGAGGACGAAAAAATGAGAAAAGAAGAGAAATGTATAAAGGAAAATGGACGCCACAAACATGACAACATGAAAAGTGAGTGAAAACGAAACGAAACAACTGGCAACAAAAAGAAGGCCATGCCACTAATAGGCTGTTGGAAGTTGGAAATAGGCCGTTTGCACAATGTGTGTCTTTACTACCACCACCAAAATGCTTCTCAAATTAACTAAACAAAAAAAAGTATACAACTCAAGGGATTTAAACTTTGGTAGTTTTCAACAGTTAATGACGCCATAATGTAAATGTCCTATCATGTATTTGTTTAACAAAAGTGCAATACTTTTCAGTATATTTGTTTCGGTATACTTACAATACGTAAGTAACTACCCCAAGACTCCTAAAGAGGAAACAAGAAAACTATCAGAAATATAAAAACAAAAGTCAAACATTTGCTAAATAACTTCTAACCATGTTGAAGATTTAGTAATCAGGCATAATAGTTAGGGACTGGTCATAAAGTATGTGGGGGGGGGGGGGGGGGAATGTTCCAAAATAGAGTACAAACACTACAAGTT